TATATATATATATGTATATATATATTATTGTTTACTACAATCATCTCCATTTTCCCACCACCACTTTCCCTCTTTTCACCCATCCCCACCTCCCACCCTCAATCCTACCCACCTTTGGCTTTGTCCATGGGTCCTTCATACATGTTCCTTGATGACCCTTCCCCTTCTTTACCCTGTGTCTCCCTTCTTCTTCCCCTTTGGTTACTGTCAGTTTGTTCTTTGTTTCAATATCTCTGGTTATATTTTGCTTGCTTGTTACTTTTGTCGACTAGGTTCCACTTATAAGTGAGATCATATGGTATTTGTCTTTCACTGCCTGGCTTATTTCACTTAGCATAATGCTCTCCAGGTCCATCCATGCTGTTGCAAAGGGTAGGAGCTCCTTCTTTCTTTCTGCTGCATAGAATTCCTTTGTGTAAATGTACCACAGTTTTTGGTTCCACTCATTTACTGATGGGTGCTTAGGTTGCTTCCAGCACTGGGCTATTGTAAATTATGTTGCTATGAATATTGGGGTGCATAGATTCTTTTGAATTGATGTTTCAGTGTCTTTAGGGGATAATCTCAGCAGTGGAATTGTTGGCTCAAAAGGCAACAACTTGCTGGGTTTTATTTTTAGTTTTTAGAGGAAACTCCATACTGTTTTCCACAGTGGCTACACCAGTCTGCATTCCCCCCAACAGTGCACTAGGGTCCCCTTTTCTCCAAAACCTCACCAGTACTTGTTGATTTATTCATGATGGCCATTCTGACCAGTGTGAAGTGGTATCCATTGTGGTTTTAATTTGCATCCCTCTGATGGCTAGTGATGCTGAGCATCCTTTAATATGTCTCTGGGCCCTTTGTATGTCCTCCTTGGAGAAGTGTCAGTTCAGGTCCTTTGCCCATTTTTTAATTGGGTTGTTTGTATTCTTGGTGTGGAGTTGTCTAAGTTCTTTTTATATTTTGGAGATCAAACCCTTGTCTGAGGTATCACTGGCAAGTATATTTTCTCAGATGGTTAGTTCCCTTTTCATTTTGGTGATGTTATGGTGAGGCTAAAGCCTTGCAGAAGCTTTTTATTTTAATGACCTGATAGTGTAGATAGAAAATCCTATCAACTCCACCAAAAAACTACTTAACCAAATAAGTAAATTTGGAAAAACGGTGGGATACAAAGTCAATATTCAGAAATCAAAGATATTTTTGTATACCAACAATAAAATATAAGAAACATAAATGGAAAAAAATCCCATTTGCTATAGCAACAAGAAAACTAAATTACCTAGGAATAAACCTAACCAAGGAGGTAAAATACCTATACTCAAAAAATTACACAATGCTGAAGAAAGAAATTAAGGAAGGTACAAATTAATGGAAGCATGTACCATGTTCATGGATTGGAAGAATTAACATCATCAAAATGTCTATACCAACCAAAGCAATTTATAGATTCAATGCAATTCCTATTAAAATGCCAATGGCATATTTCACAGATATTAAACAAACATTTTAAACACTTATATGGAACCTTAAATGAACCTGGATAGCCGCAGCAATCTTGAGAGAGAAGAACAAAGTAGGAAGGATCACTATATCTGATATTAAACTATATTACAAGGCCACTGTAATCATAAGAATAGACACATAGAGAGCCCAGAAATAAAATCTATGTCTCTATGATCAATTCACATTCAATAAAGGGAGCAGAAGCATAAAATGGAGTAAAAATAGCCTCTTCAACAAATGGTGTTGGGAGATACGGACAGCTACATGCAAAAAAATGAAACTTCACCACCAACTTACACCATACACAAAAATAGACTCAATGGATAAAAGACTTAAATGTAAGTCACAATACCATAAAAGTCTTACAGGAGAGCCTAGGCAGGAAAATCTCAGCTATTCCATGCAGCAGTATTTTCACCAACATGTCCCCAGGAGCAAGGGACATGAAGGAAGGAATATTCACTTCTGCTGGAAGGAGGAGAGCAAGGAAAATATTCACAAAGGGCTTAAACTGAGGACCAGAGGATGAAGGCTATAGTTTTTCACACTCCCTGTGGGATAGAAGACAATTAAATTCAACCCCAAAGACCCAGCCAGGAAACTGTCATTCAAGGCTTCCCCTGTCTTCTGCTTGCCTGGTGGCTATTTCACTGCTCCTTAGTATTGCCCTTAAAGAGAGAAAGTGGAAGTGGAATTGTTTACTTTGTTTCTACTAAGGGGTTAGGGAAAACAAATTAGTGGAGGAAAGATAAAATTAAAGCACTAAATTTTCATTCAGCTGGAATTGCTTTGTAATATAATTGATTTATGTTAATCTAAAATTATTGTCTAATTTTTTGCTTATGAAATATTGTAGCTTTACAGGTATTAATAAATATAAGTGACCCCCCCCCATCTTGCCCATTCCCCAGGGCCAGTGCTATTAACAGTTTGATGAGTGTCTTTCTGGATTTTTAATTTGTATTTAAATCTGCAATTATATTTTAAAGCAAAGATGAGATTGTGTCGTCCATATTGTTACACATAGCATTGGCCACTCGCTTCTTTCTCCCAATCCTCTCCCCAACTCACTACATCATGAACATTGTTAGGACTATGTTTCAAAGGAAATATCAGTGTGCGATACAGAAAAGATGCTGTAGCAATATTTAGGTATTGTTTTCAGTCAAAAGAAAACTAAATAAGGCTGAAACTCACCTTCTCCAAGAGGCCTTCTCTGATCAACTCTACTTTGATTTCTTGTTTGTCAGTCCTCTCTTCTGAATCATTCAGTAGTTTTACACATTATTTCTATATGATACTTGGCCCCTGCTCATCAACATATTCTTTTGTTTTAAACTCAAGCCCTTTTTGTTGCAAAGAACAAAGGCTCCATGTTGCAAGAATACTCGTGCACTGGAAAGTTCAGCCGAGGGACTGATCTTTCTTGTGCTGGCAACCCTCGTTGTCTTGTTCCAGTTGTCTTTCTGTCTGGATTGGCTTCTTCCTCTACCAACTCCTATTTCCTCATCATTTGGCTTCCATTTTTTCATTCATTCATTCATTCATTCATTCATTCATTTAGCAAGTAGTTACTGAGTGTTAGTGACATGCTAGGAGTGGCTGTAGGATGGACAATTTGGGCTGCTCTAATCCTGACTTGATTAAAGTCCTGGCTTCCTTTTAATTCCACTTATCAAATTCTCCCCATGTTTCTGAGCTGAAATTCCTAAGGGTGAGAAAGTGATTGGCCCAGCTTTTGCCAAGTTTTGCCATACTTAGATGCCTGGACATTCTGTGGCCCCAGCCTGTTCATCCAGATGTGTCTGGAAAAAGGGATGGAAGACTGTAGGTGGGACAGTGCTTTGCAGACCTAATCCGCCCAGTTCACTTCATAAATGTTCTCAGGTCTTACCTGTGCATTTGTGCCATCTCCCCAACCAGAGGGCAGTCTATGGACCGCGTGTCTGCTGTGACCTGCACACAACAAGTGCTCGATGGAGAAGGTTAACAGCCTTCCCTTTACATGGCATTGGGCTCACTGTGGGCAGAGGGTGAGACTCACAGCCTCCCTCCTGCTCAGAGAAAGCACAGCTACTGCCTGTGCCAGGGAGCTGCAGACCTCACCACAGCTGTGCACATGCCCTTGGTGTGTACAGTCTCTGAAGGTAAAGGCAGAGAAACAGTAGGAACTAAAGGAAAATGATAGGTAAAATATGTGAAGTGTCAGGTTTAAATTCCCATGCATGGAAATTTAAAATGTAAGCATTTAAAATGTAATTATAGACCCAGGTGAGGTTTCTTTCCTCTGGAGCCAGGATACCTTTAATCAACAACTGTCTTCAGATGATGAGGTCACAATTTCTATTACTACACAAAATATGTATAAGAAATTGCAATACAACATAGCATTTGGTAACTCAAGACAAAGAGTTCAGAGGTTAACATATAATTTGGTTCTAGTATTTTTTAAGTAGAAAGTTTTGTTAGGGATGATTTACAGCAATGGTCTCCAACATTTTTGGCACCAGGGACCAGTTTTGGGAAAGACAATTTTTCCGAGGACTGGGGGAGAGGAGATGCTTTGGGGATTATTCAAACACATTACATTATTGTGCACTTTGTTCTATAATTATTACATTGTAATATATAATAGAATAATTGTATAGCTCACCATAATGCAGAATCAGTTGGATTCTGACTTAAAGCCTGCCACCAGATGCAGCTTAATTGTCACTTGCTGCTCTCTAATAGAGTTTTGATATGAGTTTGCAAGCAATTGATTTGTTATGGTCTCTGTACAGTCAAACCTCACTGCTAATGACGATCTGTGTTTGCAGCAGCTCCCCAGCTCTGGCATCACCACTTCAGCTCCACCTCGGTCATCAGGCATTAGATCCTCATAGAAATCACGCAACCTAGATCCCTCATGTGTGCAGTTCACAGTATGGTTCATGCTCCCATGAGATTCTGATGCTGCCACTGAACTGACAGGAGGCGGAGCTCAGGTGGCAATGCAGTGATAGGGAATGGCTGTAAACACAGATGAAGCTTCGCTAGCTCTCCTACTGCTCACCTCCCGCTGTTCTGCCTGGTTCCTAATGGCCGTGGACCAGTAGCAGTCCATGGCCCGGGGGTGGGGACCCCCGATACAGAGAATTGATATTGTTACATGACATGAGAAACACTTGGCCATGGAACTGCTGCTCAGAGGCCTTTCTGTTCTGTTCATCCATATTCTTATCACTGTTTTTCCAAGACTCTTCTTTCATTTGAGAGGGCTTCTGCTAAACCAGTGAATTTGAACTTCAAGTGAAAAAACTACGATAGATGGCTTGAAGAGGTGACTGGCTAATTACCCTCAGAGCCATCACCAGAATCCTGGGTTCACGTGGAGAGCCAGACAGTGCAGAGTCCCTTCTGCAAAGGGTCTGTGATGGAGGAGCCTACAGAAGTACTGGCTTGCCCCAGTGTGACGGCAGGCACCGGGGAAGCCATCTGCACAGCAAGCAGCTGGGGGCAGAGCTCCCATCAGTCCCACTCTGTTAGTTGTGGACAGGCTCTCACCTCTCAGCCAGGCTCCTCTCTTGCTCCCAGCGTGCTTTTAATGTGCTCCTGTCCTTCCTCCACACCTGTGCTCACCCTTCTTTCGAGATGATTAAGTGACTGCTGTTCAGAAAAAGTTGCATGCACATACACACCCTTTCATGGGACATTTACATTCTTTTTTTTTCCATTATAGAAAATTACTTATTCATAAGGAAGATATCAAGAGAGGAACAAGGGAACTACAAAAGAGCCAGGAAAAATTAATTAAATGGAATTAGTAAGTCTTAACCAATCAATAATTACTTTTATTTATTTATTTTTATTGAATTTATTGAGGTGACATTGGTTAGTAAAATCATGTAGGTTCCAGGGGTACGATTGTATAACACATCATCTATATATTGGATTGTGTATTCACCATCCAAAGTCAAGTCTCCTTTCAGTACCGTTCATCCCCCATTACCCTCCTTCCCCTCCCCTTCCCTCCCTCTCTCCACCACAGTTACCAGGGACTTTTACATTCCAGCCCCCAGCTGACTTTTCTGACATCACCTTCCCCTGTTGCCACATGGCACACTGGACTCTGTAACCTATTCCAGCCTCCTTGCTTCTTTTTACTGCCTGAACTGTCACTGACATCTCGACACCTGCCATCTATAATTCTGGTTCTTATCATTCCCTCCCCTTCCCACAGACCAAAGAGGAAGTTCTCTTCTGTGTTACCATAGCATTTACATTATAATTCTGACCTCAGTTATGTCTTGTTGCTTATAGGTTTTTTTCCTCCTGTGAACCGTGAGCAATCTCATGGCAGGAACCTTCTGTCATCACTCGTTCATCCTCACACTCCAACACCTGGCAAAGTGCTCATCACAGGTGCTGAGGAAGGATATTCGTGGAAATAATTGTTCTGTTTTAAGTATATGATATGCCTGGGGGCTCGATGTAGATTGCTCTTAATTTAGCATTAATCCTGGTAACAGGTTTCTAAACAGGTGTTAGTTTCCTGACCAGCAAAGTAAAAATGTTAGTCTGTGCTACATAGAAATTCATGTGTAAGAACAAGTAAACAACTCAAGTAGAATGTTGGCAAACTCCTTTCTCAAGCACACTGAAGAAAAGTGAGGGGTTGCTTGCTAAGATGAAGACTCAGGTTTTGGATATTTTGCTTGGCCTGAATTTGCTTAGATATTAAAATAGGGGATTAGATTCCCCTTTAACTTTAAAATTATATTCTTGCAATGATTCTACTTACCAAGTGTTAAATTTACATAAACATTTTTGGTGCTCAAATTAGCAATAAAATCTACACTAAATGTCCTCTTTCCAGCAGTGCCTCAAAGCATGTTCTGAAGTTTATTTGACCACCAATAATGGATGGGCAAACACATTAGGCAATCACTTACAGAACTGCTCTGCTTCTTTAAGAGACCTCGGTTGTTAAGTTGAAAGATCACTGAACTGTATGAGGGTCAATAAAAGAATAAAAATGTCATTTGTTAGTGATCTGAGTACAAGGAACTTGATCCTAGTTCAATATCTGTGTCCTTACGCTGCTGACCGGCATTGGAGAACGTCTGGTCTCCGCAGTTGAATTTCCTCGGGATGGCTTCGGGCACTCTAATCAAGCTCCTGGTATTTGAGATTCTTGAGTTTGCTGCTTTCTCCATTCCCACGCTTGTGATTATGGAACAGTTTGCAACTGCCTATCAAGTGACAAGGAATGGAGCAGAAAAAACTCACTATTGGCTGATCGTCTCCTGTTCAATTGCCTATGTGGCTTCAGTGAGTCTATTGATTTGGGTTCCCATAAAAGTTCTCTTATACAAGAAACATCGTCTTACAAAAAAAATTAAAGGATGGTGAGTAAAAGAATTCCTTAGCAGAGAATCCCTCAGATGCTTTCAAAGATATTTTCTCATGTGCTATGTATAAGGGTGTTAACACAGCGGAAATGTATGTAGTGTAAGATTCAGGAGAAATAGCAACCACTGTTTCTATAAATGTATTGATATTATGGTATCTTTCATATTTTTGTAGGGTCATTTTTTTACAGACTGAAAATAATCAGTTAGAGGTGTTCAGAAAATAGGAGCTAGCAGAAGTCCGTGATACCCCGAGAAGTAAATGTTGGGCCTAATTCCTTTGTACATTTTAGTGCATAAAATTTAAAGAAACCACATCACAGATGATAATATAGAATTTTCCTTTTGTATAAAACTTAAGTAGTGTCTATTTTCAAATGCTTTGTTACATGTCTTGCAGGTCTTGGGCATCCTTTGGCCATTAACCAGCTGATTTTTTAGGCAACTATGTCCTTTAATTAGATTTAGAAAAATAATACTTTACTATGTTGATAAATTCTGTTACCCTTATAGAGGGAAGTACTTCAATAATAATATAAAATATTTTAAATTGAGATTTAATATTGATTTAACTGACTGTTTAGATAATGATTATATCAAACCATGTAAAGGTATTAAGAACAAATAATCTCAGATATATATTTTCTTTTTAGGTCTTCAGATCTGATTCTCACTCATCTGGGATTTCTATGTATTCTTTGATAATTTAAATGTTCTTTCATTCTGATCTTTTATTTAAAAGTTGAACAGCATAGAATGCATTTGAAAAGCAAGGAGCTGTAAATTTTAACACAATCAAGGGTGGAAATGTAAAAATAGTTACAAATATAGCTAGAAACACTGTTGGGAGGGGGCAGAAGGCAGGGCTGAAGTGTAGAGTTCATGGAGTGCCCTTAGGGTGCTGATACCAACGTGGCCTCGAGAATCACACTTTCCGAGGGACCTTCAGTTCTCTGTGGGCAGAGTTCCGGAAGGGTTTGGGAAATAAAACATTTGGTTGGCAGGAAATAAAACATTTGGTTGGCACTGCTTTTATCGGTGGGGCTTAGGGGTCTTCCACACCTTGACCCAAACCCTGTAGATCAGGAGTGTCAAACTCATTTTCACCGGGGGCCACATCAGCCTCATGCATGCCTTCAGAGGGCCGAGTATAATTTCAACTTCTTAACAGTTAAAGAGTAAATACATTTATACAGTCCTAAAATGATTTCTGTCATTTGAAGGCAACCTCAAGGCTGATGTGGCCCCCGGTGAAAATGAGTTTGACACCCCTGCGGTAGATTATCTAGGTTGGGTTTGGAGCTGAGTTTGGGGCCTCTATTCCTTATACTCCATGAGAGTTGCTTTGGCCTTCTAAGTCTCCTTAGAAGGACTAGCTCATGGGCTAGGCCAGGGAGCTTTGAGGGAATGGTGGGAGGTTCAAGTGACCACAGGACTAAACAGTGGGAAACTGGCCACGGCAGCTCAGGAAGCAGATTCTGTCATACACACACACACACACACACACACACACACACACACACACTGGCTCAAATTCCTAGGACTCTAGGTTCTTAATCATTCAGGCAGCAAATCTTCCCATGTCATGTATCATTATCATCATCATCATCATCATCAAGCTGTAATTGTTTCTTTACTGTTCACTTATGTGCTGAGAGATTTATGAATTTCATTTCATTCTATACCACCTCATCCAAGTGGGTATTTTGATAAGTCTGTTATTATTACTTGGGAGAGGAAACTGATGATTAGATAGTTATACAACTTTCCCAATTGGTTAACTAGAGAGAGAAAGGGCCAGACTTTGGACTTAGGACCCTGTGACTCCATAATTGGTATTCCTAACCACCACCCTAACCTGCCTCTTTGAATGTCCCAGGCTCTTGGGACAATTGAGAGTAAGGAGGAAAGTAAGTTTGAGGAAAGTAAGTTTCACTTCTACTTCCCAGTGCACGTTTCCTTTTTTTTTTAGAGAAACATTAATGTGTGGTTGCCTCTTGTGCACCCCTTTACTGGGGATGTGGCCTGCAACCCAGACATGTACCCTGACTGGTAACTGAAATGGCAACTCTTTGGTTCACAAGCCCACGCTCAATCCACTGAGCTACACCAGCCAGGCCACATGTTTCCTTTTGTACGTCTGGTTCGGGTAGTCTTCTTGTATTAAGGTACATTGGGCTGTCACAACAATTATATTTCAGTAATTTTTTTTGTGAAATACTCTTTGGTTTTTTCTTTCTACTTTTGGATGTGGCTGGCCATAAGTGTTCTAAATAGTTTTAGATATATGATAGGTTATCTATAATTTCAGTGACACTGTGAAACTATTTTCTTATGGTCTCATGGCATGAGTGCTATCATATTATTATCTCTTCCTGGCACGGAAGAGAATAGCTACTATTCTAGGAGTTTCACACATTCTGTACTATTACATTTGAACTTTATGACAACCCGGTGAGTTAGTTATGTGCTAGTGTTCTCATTTTATAGGCAAAGAAATAGAAACTCAAAGAAATGATTAACTCTGTCAGGTGATAAACTCCATAAGGGGTAGAACTGGGATTTGTGAGTCCAGATCAGTCTGTTCCATGCTGTTTCCTCTATCTCATGCAACTTCCTTATTTCTTCTGACTTTGAATGCCAAGTGTGTTTCAAGAAAAATTCAACCCTGTTAGTCTCATTACGATGCATTTCCCCCAAAGATGTATATTTGGACATTATATATGGCTCCCCAAGGTGTAAATTTGAATATTTTAATATATGTGGCCATATCGAGTGTGCCATGTATCTTAATTGCTAGCTGAAGATAATGCAAAAGTAACTGCTACTGTAGGAAGTATTAGAAGTATGAATTATTTTTGAAGAATAAATAGTTGTTTACGTGAAATTTCATCGGTCCTTAGCATTCACAGCTGTATTGTTGATGGGCCTCTTTGAGAACCTTCCTGTCGGTCCATGTTGGCCTCAACAGTGAGGCTGGTTCCAGAGGAGGGTGAGTCAGGAGCTTGTGAAGGGTGTGCCCCGGCAGCACAGCTGCGAGGTGCAGCCCTGAGCTGAAGTCCCAGCTTTGACAAAGACTGTGATGCCTTGTGTGAGTTATTGAGATTCGTGGAATTTTACTTTTCTCATGAGCAACAAAGGACAACTTAAGTTTCTTCACTGGGATGTTGTTTTGAGAAACTGAGTAAGATTATGCACATGAAGTTCTAAGCATAGTGCCTGGCACTAAATGGATGTTAATGTTACTACCCCAGTTGAATTTAGTGTTTCCATTTAAAACATGATCTTGTTTAATCCTCAGAATGACTCTGAGAAGTGGTAGACGTAATGATAAAACTGGTTAAATGGAAGAAAATTCTATGCTATTTAAGTAATACTCTTCAAGTTTGGAGAATCTTACACTTTTTTTTTTTTGAGAATTATTGAGCCAGTAGAGTGATACAATGAATATCTTCTAAGGCAGCAGTCCCCAACGTTTTGACACCAGGCACTGGTTTCATGGAAGACAATTTTTCCATGAATGGGTGTGAGGTAGGGCAGTGGGAGGGATGGTTTCAGGATGATTCAAGTGCATTATATTCAAGTTCACCTCCTGCTGTGTGGCCTACTTTCTAATGGGAGGGGGAGGAGTGTTGGGGACCCCTATTCTAAGGTATTCTTCATATCCACAGTGCTTTCATATTTTATATTTTTCACTGTACCTCCATGCCAGTGTTGCAAGGTGGCCCAAGTAGATGTAATTCCAATTTTATGAGGGAGGAAATGATGCCAGAAAGCTGAAGATACACAGCACAGTCTGAACTTTAACCCGATTCTTTCCTTTATTCTTTCCAACATTTCCTCATTCTTTTAGAATGACTGCTCCTTCTCAGGGTTGCTGCTCATAATTCATAACAGACTAGGGAGGTGAAGGAATAAAGAAAAGCTACTTATATGCAGACTAAATTGTATATCCCGATAACTAAGAAATTCTTTCCTATAACAACAGTAAATGTGTGAAACCATTGAGTA